TAAAAATTCAATGTGAAATCTGATTGTTTGCAATGAATAATCCAGTCAGCTTGGTCTTTGGCTACTCTGCTCTGCTTACCCTGCCTGGTTATACCCAGGCCTAGAAAGTGGTTCTTAACAAGACTCCATTTGCTAGATGGGGGCTTCTAAGCTCTAACACCATGACAATCTTCTCCACAACGGCCCCATGGCAGCTCAGTCTGGAATTTATGTGACACTGTATTTAGGTATAATTCTGGCACTAATGAAACACGACATCCCTTGTCAAACATGAAAATTCATCTACAGTATAAGCTTTCAGGATGGAGACTAGGGAGTGGGAGGCATTAGCCACCTCAAGTGAAGTAATAAAAACTTGACACTTGCCTTACATATTCAGGGGGAGCATGGGGAATCAGCTCCCTCATTCCTGAAATTACTAACAACTGCCTGTGATCTTATTTCTGATCTTATCGTCATCTTGTGACTGTTGACTCTTCTGCCAGACATGATGTAACTTTGCAGATGTTATCTGCATGCAAATGCACACACGGTCAATCTGGACTTTCCCTTTAAAAATTTCCAGACATGGTGCAAAGTAGCTGATCTTTTTGTGCACATGAATCGTGAGCTAGTTTCCTCCATATTCCTTAATGTGTCAGAGAAATGTTTAACACAGAAGCAGTGGTACAAGACATGCAGGAGCGACGCAATGCTCAGATGGAGCAGAGAGAAATTTAACACATCAGATAACTCTGCCTACGATTGATCATCATTCAAGTGCAATTGACTCATGCTACCCTTGAAATTTCATCTTATTCTGTTTTGCTTCCTCAACATCTCTATCTCATCCAGGTTCTCTTATCCCCAAGACAACTACATTTTAGAGTCTTTCCCATTTTATAATTCTTCTTCCTTCCCCCTCCTGATGGGTCCACAGGTCATTTCTGCAGCTTCTTAGCTCCATAATCTCTTTCCTTACTTACACAACACCTTCCTTTTCCCCAGAATCTTTAAACCAACTCCTCTGTATTCACTTTAGATTTCTCATTTTGTCCTGGTACAAATGACTAGCAGAAAGACAAGGAAAAATATTGTAATAAGAAAAAAACACAAGTTTTTCTTATATCCTAGAGAAAGAGAGAACAATCAAGGAAAACAAGATCAGTTCAGTAAAGACAGACAATAAGTTTATGCAGTCAATATCTCAGAAAAGAGACAACTAAACAAGAGTGCAACCTTAGATACAGCCACGCACAATAAAGAAAACCCCAGAAAGGGATCAGAACTTGATCGGCCAGGGGCTAAACAACAGGGCCTGATCCAATAAAGCATTTAAGCACATGCTTAACTTAAAGTACATGAGTAGTCTCACTGGGCTGGACTAGGTTCTTATTACTTAATACTCTATAGAAACAAGCCCAATGTTTAGTCCCTATCCAGTGTGCATTCACTGCAGTAGAATCACCCTCTGTAGAGTCAGCATAAAGACTCCTTCAAAAAACAAGCCCGTCTCTGGAACATGTAATGAGCTTAGCTATTTTAAAAATCAAAGCCATTGAGTCTATCACAGGAGAAGACTGAAGATGGCTGGCCCCTTAGTTTAGTCACCATCCTTTTGACACTGGGATCAAAGACAGCTACCACCAGTGCTAATGGCAATTTGTTTAAAAATATTTCTGAGAAAACAAATGAGAAGAGATTTAAAGTGAAACCCAATTTGCAAATCTTAGTCTGAAATAAACAATCAATCATTATGTATTTCACACAGTTCGTAAGATTAGAGAGACGTCTCTGAAAAAGTGTGAATGCCCCACAGGGAACAGAATGATAATGAACTGGCAAGAGACAACGGATCTCTGCTGATTTATTTTAATAATTAAAGTGACTTGAACACAGATTAGCATTATTTTCACCACCGTTTTTAATTTGAAACGGGAAACTGAAAGTGTTTGCTTATCCATAAATACTGGAAAGGTTACATGGTTTAAACATAGTGACAGGTTTCAGAGTAACAGCCGTGTTAGTCTGTATTCGCAAAAAGAAAAGGAGTACTTGTGGCACCTTAGAGACTAACCAATTTATTTGAGCATGAGCTTTCGTGAGCTACAGCTCACTTCATCGGATGGGCTAGCACCAGCAGGAGAGTGAATTTGTGTGGGGGGGGTGGAGGGTGAGAAAACCTGGATTTGTGCTGGAAATGGCCCACCTGATGATCACTTTAGATAAGCTATTACCAGCAGGACAGTGGGGTGGGAGGAGGTATTGTTTCATGTTCTCGGTGTATATATAAAGTCTGCTGCAGTTTCCACGGCATGCATCCGATGAAGTGAGCTGTAGCTCACGAAAGCTCATGCTCAAATAAATTGGTTAGTCTCTATGGTTTAAACATAGTTTCTACAAGTGCCAGTTTTGCTTCGCTACACTCTTTTGTAGCATGTTACAACAACACTCTTCACCGATCGTAACACACCTCTAGGCCTACTATATCAACAGCAGGATAAGATTTTCTCCCCCCTCTCTTTTTCCTGTAGTGGGCAACAGTGTCAAAAAGCTGTGCTCAGTCAATAAACTGTTTTTTTTCCCTACACTCATACCAATATGTCTTGCACTTAAAAAGAAATATCCTTTTCTTTGTACAGCTATGGGATTTGTGACCATTTATTTCAGATGGTGTTTGATGGAAATGAAAGATCTCTATCAGCACATTGCAAAGAGATTAGACTAAACCCTGCTTGGCCCTACAGAACCCTGTATCCCTCAGTAAAGCGCTTTCACGGCTGCGAGCAAGCTACTGAGCATGTGAACAGCTGCTGCACGCGCCCGCATAATAATCCCACTGCTCGTGTCTCATTCACTGCTTCATGAAGAGCTCTGGGGTACGCGGAGGACAGAAGGTGCAATTAAAAATCCTAATTCTATCAACCTTAACTATAATGCCATATTTCTGCAGCTGTTGGGATCCGCTATATGGGTCTGTGAACCGATTGCACGTGCACACAGATGAAGCCATTCTCATGGGTTTACTCAGCAATGTATCTTTTTACTTGTGTGCTACATAAGAATCCATAGGATTTATTCTGATTTTGGCAAGGGTGGGGGTAGAGAGAGGCGTGCAAGGGAGCCCTGGGCTGTAAACATATGTACCTGACGCCTTTCATAACCAATACTCTTTGCATATGGTCAGAGAGAGAGAGTGTGTGGTGTGTGTGTGTAAAAAGGTGGTAGATTCCGGACCTTTCATGGGGATGCAGTGCTTATCTGCTGAGTCAGCTTGATGTCAGATGTTTAAACTCTGTGTACAGCTAATGGGAACTTTTGCTGATTCTCTCTGAGATTAGTTGAGGTATGTCCTGTTCATTCCTATGAGAGGGTTTAGACTAGTCTCTCTCTCAGGGCCAGTGTGAATTAGAAAGGCCTTGCAGGGAAAACCCAATGAACTGCCCAGCTTGGGAAGAAATCTTAGGCTGGTGTTTATGGTTTTGTTGTTATTTAAATTAACAATAAAGGCAAACCTCAGGAAGCGGGTAAGTTTTGACCCTATTCAGTGTGTGTGCCTTCTGTTCAGAGCAAAGGGGGAACTGCACCAGTTTACAATGTGAAACAACTGCAGGATGGAGGACTCACCTGTTTAAAATGAAGCTTTCAGGATGAAACTCAAAGGAAGGCAGCACAAAGAGATGGAAAGTAAGTTCTCTTCCCCTTCGAAGCCTCTATACACTATAGTCTTAATTTCACACACTATAGTCTTAATTTCATATTCTGCAAGTCCACACTGGAGTGTTGTGCCAGCATTTGGAAAGCAAGGGCTGGAGTTCTGCTGTAAGATTGGAATTTTCAAGGGAGTCTAAGGCCTGTTTTACACCAAAATGGTAGATCAACCTAGCGATGTCACTCAGGAGCATGAAAAACTCACAGCCCTGAGAGCTGTGGTTAAGCCAACCTAAGCCCCGGTATAGACAGTGCTAGGTCAGTGGAAGTATTATTCTATTGATCTAGCTACTGCCTCTCGGAGAGGTGGATGTATGATAGCGATGGAAGAACTTCTTCCATCTCAGTAGTGAGCATCTACACAACAGCACTGCAGCTGTAGTGTTTCTCACGTAGACATACCCTGAGAGTGTTAGTCACCCAACTCCCATTCAGTTTCAATAGGGTCTGGATGCCTAACTCCCGGCGAGTTTGAAAATTCAGCCTAAATCTCTCCTACAAACTGAGAGGCTCTACCGTCAACAAAGAGAGAGTAACTATGCACACAATTCTCAAAGTCACATAGACCAGAAAATTCAGCCATCAGGCCCCATCCACTTGCCTGGAAACAACTGATCCTCAAAGTAACAAAACAATAAGCACCACTTCTGTAGCATGTTTCATCAACTTTATAAAGGCAGACAAGCTAAATCTGTGTCTGTAACCTCCGTTACAGACACAGAAACCTGGGCACAGACTGGTTGAGTGACTTGCCCACGGTCACACAGAGTTGGGGCTAGGACCCACGTCTCCTGACTCCCAGTCCCATGCTTTATCCACTGGAACACTCTGAATCCTGTAGGACACCCTGCATTGCTTTGCCGAGTCTAGATTTAATTGGTCCAAATGATAGGAAAATACAAGACAACATGTGAGGACTCAATCAGGATTCTTTCTGGTGCTGGCAGTGTATTTCCAGTTGTCTTTGAAAGGGTGCAATGTAGGTTCCTCACCAATGACAGACCCGCTCTGCCAGACAGCGTGGAGAGACTATGGAGTCATGGTTCCATCCTTATCTTGGACCCTTTCGAGAAGGTGGCACCACTACTCCTATGCAACAATACCTCTGTTCCCAGCCCCTGCTCACTTTGGGGAAGTCACATTACACCTTACTTTCCCCACTCAGGGATTCTGTGTAGCCCTATCAAAAGTCATGGGCATTAGCAATACCAGCAGCATTGGCAGTTCTGTGTAAATCCTACAGGCACCAAAGACTAGATTCTCAAACCTCCATTCATGTCACTCTCTCTGAGCGAATTCCTGGTGCATACCTGAAATCCATGTTTGCCCCTCCACCATGTGGTCAGCTCCTTTGGTGGCATGTCAATAACGGACACAATGTCTCCCACCTGGAAAAGAATTGCAACATAAATACCACCCCCAATGTAGCTGGAGACGGAGACAGGGTACTGTTAGAGCGAATGCACATTCTTCTCCACTGCATCAAATCCTAAAGCCATCCTCTGCTTTGAGGTATCTGCCCTTGTATAAACTACCGCTGAAGTATGAGACTTAATGCATTATAAATCCTACAAGATGCACCTTTTTAATGTACTCATAAGGAGTTGTTTAAGAGTAGACAATGGATGCAGGCATGTTCTGATTAAGCGGTGCAGTGTGCACTGAGGGAAATAAGCCCCGAAGCATGAAACCCCTTGGGAAATGTTCTCACACAGCTGAACTCGTTTTTCCCCTTGTACAATATGTGTTTGCATCTCTGACTGCTGCCATCCCCTCACCCTCACAAAGTTAAGAACTGCACTCAGTTCTCCTGACCTGACAAAGACGCTCGCCTCTGAATCCGGAAGCTAACAAAGCAGTAAGGCAGCGTGACGTTACTGCAGCAGGATGGGAAGAGACCAAAGGGGACAGGGTGGCCAAGGAGGCTTTCTGAAGCTTCCCTCATTCCTTTGGGACCCATTCCCGAAAAGAACACACACAAAACCAGATAAATGGTTTGCACTGTTGTTTCAATGGCTGAAAATGACATTAGCAGAACTCATTCTAGATGCTTATACTAGTTTGGTGGGAGGGCGATTTGTGTACTGCAGCATGCAATACTTTTTTCTGAAATTGAGTAAATTCTTCACCGGATACTATAATAAATGATAACGTAGCTCCCATATAGTGTTTTTCATCACTAGATCTCAAAATGCTTCACAAAGAGATAAGCATCATTACTCCTATTTTTCAGGTGGGGAAACTGAGGCACAGAGCAGTGACGTGACTTGACTTGCCCAAGGTCACCCAGTAGCTTAATGGCAGAGCTGGGAACAGAATTTGGGTCTCCTGAGTCCCTACCCAGTGCTCTATCCACTAGGCAACACTACCTCCCCAGAATCTACAGAAACCAGAAATTAGCCAGATTTCTTTACTATTCAGAATCAAACAAAGGACTGGCTCGGGAATCAGCTTCTTTAAAACGTTTATTGGACAATAAAAATCTTTTTAATATCACAAGAGAGCATGGTCTCCTGGTTTAGGGGTCAGAACACAATGCTAGGAGACTGGAGATCTGTAGTCTAATCCCAGCTCTACCCTGCTCACTATATGAATTTGGTCAAGCTGCAAGTGTGCTGTGCCTCAGTTTCCCATCTGCAAAATTAGACTAGTAACAAAAACTTACCTACCTCGATAGTTATTGCCAAACTAAATTATCGGCTTGTACAGGGCTTTGACACTGATAAACAGAACGTGCCATACTAGTGCAAAACATTTTACTATTATTATTAATATTGAAACACTGTCAAATAGTCTATGCCCTAAATTACATATACTGTAACTTAAGAGGGATATAGTCTATTTAACTTTTATCTTTCTGTTTCACTCTGTGTGTTTGTTTATAGTAGTGAGTGCTGAGCAGTGAATCTGAATAAAACCCTCAACACTCCTTAAATATCTGTATTATCTGCAAGGTGGCACAACTAAAGCTGTCATCAGAGAAACACCTTTGGGGCAGGGTCTGCGTTGCCCTTTATATTTGTGTGCAATGTTCTCAAAGCTCCAAACAAAATAACAGTGCATACAAGTGAACTGTCACAGCATACTTGCACAGTACAATGGGCAGCAGAGAAAATGGAGAGAGAGATTTTCCAGCGATCAACACCTACAATCAGGGCCCAATTTTCAGAAGGGCTCAACACCCAGCAGCCCCATGGTGACACGTCTGGCTGGATTTTCAAAAGAGTGCAGAGCGCAACACACCAAGCTCTTTTGAAGCCCTGTCCCCTTATTTTGCGCTCACGCCCTCTCTCTCTCTCTCACATGCATACACACACAGTATACCAGATGCATTTCCTCTTCTACATTTGACAATGAGGAATGTATGTTCCTCTAGTTATTTACCTCAAAGGACAGTTCATCAGCTGCCTGAGCAATGTATCTCTTAATAACATGGGCAGCCGCAATGGCAGGCACGTTAATGGATGATTCTTCATGGACTAGCAGGTGATTCCCCTTGTTATCGATCTGCAACAAAGAGCACGGTAGGTTGTGAGGCAGCTGAGAACATGTGGCTCTGCGAATACATTTCACTGGTGCTCATGCATGACAGGGATTTCAAGCTGATTCACAAAGACAGCACAGCTTAGGGGCCCCCTGAAGAGAACAGCGTGGAGGGACAATGTAGGGCACAGAATACATAGAAATGAAGAGGAAGGACAGTTTATAAATTAAGTTTCAGAAGGTCACATCACCCCTTCCCATCCATTCATTGTTGAGGATGCAGTCTTTGTGTATTTTTGTATCGAACTCTAACATGACAGTGAATGTGTATGCCTCCCCAGGATCTGTCATGGCATCATATTTGTTTTCTTCAAGTACTTAGAAAAATAACAGAATGACGACAAAAATGCTTTACAAGCAGGGAATTTAATGACAGGAGGGACAATGAGGATATCAAAGCTACAGAAAAAATATAAAATCTAGTCTACTCTTCTGCCAGTTTCTATAATGTCTGAATTTCCAGTAAGAAATTATGGTTCCGCTGGCTTTTTTACCCCCTGCTACGCTTCCCAGTCAGTTTTTAAAACTCAGATTATTGTCCCCATCTGAAAAGCAATTTTGTAAGAGTCTCAATTAATTTGGGAAGGTCAGTCAGGCGAACTTAAGTTTTATTAGAGCACTTTCACTAGTGCACGTAATAGCTGAGTTGTAACCTTAATTTCCAGTAAATTCTCCAGTTTCATTCACCTCTAAAAGTCCCTGATCATTTCTCCTTTTGGGCTGAAAATCTGCCACACCTCATCTTAACCTAAAGGTTTTTGTTTGTTTGTTTTTTTGACAAATTTGAGGAGAATCACACATCCAAATTACAAACATTTAAAATTTAGCTACATGAACATGCTAGCTAGTACATTTCTCAAGATTTGTGAAGTCGAACAACAGTTCTTCCTGTGTCCTGTGTGATACAGTAATGTCAGCAGGCAATGGGAAGATCTACATACACCACTACTCAGACTGACTAGGGTCAGCATTGTTGTTGACCAAAGGGAGCAGGTGGTCTTGATCACTTACTCCCATTCTTTCCTCCTCCCTCTACCCACTAAGGCTGGCGGTTTAAGTACTAGTGCTTGAGGTGGCTCAAAACAATAAACAGAGAAATCAGTGCTACAGCTGTACATAAACAGGACCGCTGAGAGCACACAACACAAGCTCTGTTGAGCCATTTAACAGAAGAGATGGCAAAGCAGAGTAGATAATATTGGTGGTTTCGATGCAGCTGTCTTTAAAAAATAGAGAGCCAAAAATAGCAGAGAAGATCTCAACATCCACAGCTTTCAAAGAGCAATACATACCCATTGAAATGAGTGCCGGAAGAGGTGAGTGCATCTAGTGCAGCCTATTACCTGGAGTGTCAGTCCATTGCTGAACTTGGCTTATCTAGGCAGCACATTGACCCTACCGCTGTATCACCTGAGTAGCTACCTTCTATTACTTTGTAATTAAACAGTGAAAGACTGTCATGTCTTTCAGATGAAAAAATCCAAATAGGAGGAAAAAATCCCTGACCCTTAACATGGAGTCTGATTCTCCCCTGCCTTGTGTAGTCATTGCCACTTGTGAGAAGTAGGTGTGAAATGTTACAAGGGGTGTGACTCCAGAAAGTTGGACTACACAACTCCTCTCCACTCACTTTGCACAGGTGTAAGGACTACGCAAGAGGCAGGCTGCTAAGAACAGGGCAGTTGACATGAAAAGCAGTGTTGGGCACTGCACCCTACCTCCATCCATGTGAGGGCAGGCCCACAGTTGATCTTGTTGCCTGCGATGGCTGAGAGCCGTGACAGATAAGCCATCAGCATCTGGGTGACAAGCTGCAGAGGGAAAGAAAGAACAAGTATAATTATTCTGCTGATATACAAAAGCAGAGCCCCTTTCTCCAGGCTGGCATAGTTGTTGTCAAATTAACTGGTGAGGGAGGTATGGGCAGTTTGCACTGACACTGATCTAGTTCCTAATACAATGGGGTTCTAAGGTTTGGAGAAGGAGAGAAATCAGTGCAAATACTGTTCCAGGAATTACACATTTCTATATATGTAAGATGAGAAAGGTTTCTCAGTGAAGGCTAACTGCCAGTGCCAAAATATTTTAAGCCCTGAAGTCGTCTGTTTGCTATGCATTTCACATCCAAACAGATTATTTCAATTATGACAATCCAACACATCTGAGAACCACTGAGTAAAACAAAACAGAGGCTGCCATTTCCCCACAAATGTAAAGTGCTTTGGAACGCGGCAGGCCGGAGTGGTGAAACATTCATTTTTCAAACCATAAATGAGGGCTTTAAAAACATCCTTAGTACTGTCCCTTACGCCGATGGAAAATGACTTTTACCAAGTCACTTTGATCTGAGCTATGGAGATAGCATTAAGAAGTTCCAGGACAGTCTGGAGTCTCCAAGACCAAATAAAACACTGTTGACCCAAAACATCTGTTTTAGCTGTTTAATTTGAAGAAGAAAAAAAAAAAAAAAAAAACCAGAAAGAATGAGAGACATCACACAGCTGCAAAACCGCATTCCAAGGTGTGGCAGTATGTTAGATGTCACAGCATCTCCTGTGCACATAGTTACTTTGTATCCAACCTCATGCTATACAACCTACAACAGGTGCGTTGGAAAAACAATGGTCCAAACACAAATCTCAAAACCCTGATCCCACTGAAGCTAAGGTCAAAACTCCATCAGTGTCAATGGGACTACAATTTGGCTCCATATCGCCATGCTGTCAGATAATAGTCCTGGATCCTGCTGGCTGCACCCTATGGACCTTTCTAAACCTGCATGGAGCCGCAACAAAGTCAAAAGGGCTCTATGTGGGAGCAGGGGTCTAACCCATATGGAGCATTTTGCAGGACTATTAATCACAAATAGTAGATCTTCAAATCCTTCCTCAGGCCAGGCTCTTAGCGACTCCAAATTGCTGCCAAGAGTATTTTTATAGACTGGTCTTTAAATATGTAGTTTCTGTGCCCTTTTTAAAGTAATTTCCACAATATTTTACATGAGGCAAGCTTGCAACAGGCAGAGTGTAATTCCCAGCTCCTCTCCCCAATGCCCACATTAACCTCCCAGTGCTGGGAATAACTTAAAAAAATGTACAAATTCCACTGCCAGCAACTGATGCAGAAAATAATGAGTCTTGAAAGGCCAGCAGAGCCAGTGCCTACAGGATGAAAATGCCACAGAATTAATCTTGGAGCATGTTATTCTACTTATTTATTGTTTAACTGCTCCATTCCCCTGTCACATTTAGGAGATTATTATTTTTACACTGTCTTCAGCAATATCTTGCATCCAATACAAAACCAACCAACCGGTGTAGGTTCCCTGATGAGATATTGGGTGAAATCCTAGACTCGCTGAACACAGTGTCAAAAACTCACCACTGACTCCAATGGAGCAATGATTTCACCCATTGTCCCCTTTCTCCACCCTCTTCCCATTTGGTTTTAAAAGAGTATAGATCCAGATTTACAGATAGAATAGACTTTGCTTTGTATGCCTGAAATGGCTGAGTTTTCTTATTTTCTCCTTTTTCAGTCACAGGGCTTATGGGCAGGCAACATTGGCCTCTTGATGCTGAGAGTCAGGATTTTTCTGCACTCATGCCTTTGCAGTGGGACATGTGCTTGCAGCCATCAGGCCTAAGGGAGAAGTGACCTGTGAAATGAAGCAATAGGCATTGTCCATCACTGTAATGCATGCTCTTCACACAGACACTGAGGTTTAACAGAGGATGTTTGGTTATGCTTGTTTGATTCAAATAACCTCCTGCAAACTACACATATTTTTTTTCCCTCCCAGTCTTCCAAAGTGATGCACTTGCTTCCTCCAAGCAGATGATTTTGGACACAAATAAACACTTGAAATGATAAACAAAGACTGACTATGAAGCTGGAAATCTGAAGGGGAATACTATCTGCTTTCACAAAAGGCCAGGGTACAAGTATTCTCACCAACCAGATTTCAGTTCCAAGGAGTTTTTACAGGTATTGAGAATGAAAAACACCTTTCTACACTGAGAAAAAGAACTTTCCTTTTTAAATAAGCTTTTTGAAGCTCCTCCTAAGATCGCTCTAACACACACATATATTTTATTTTTATAAAACCCAAAGCAATTTTTGGTTTATAGATATAAATTTACTATCTCAAATACGGTTTCCTCCTTTAAAACATTACAGACCTTTAACCACTTAATATTCCTAGCAAATAATCACTGTTGAAGTCAGCAAATATCCATGTCATTAAAAATGTTTCCAAAGATACAGTAAAATTCTGATCTAAGTAACTGACAGTACAGCATGGATTAAAAGTCTGATTTTCCTTTCTTTGCATTCTGATTCTGCATTTAGCAGTGCAGTAATTTATACTAATTTGCAAAGCACTTTCCTTTGCTAAGGTGAGGACGAATGTGCTGTTCCGATTCCTTTTCTAATTAACTCCCAAAATCTAATTCAGAATCCACAAAACTTCTGCTTTTTAAAAGCTGTGAAGAAAACCCAAACCATCCTCTGTTCATTTGTAGTAGTTCTGAGTCTGATCAGAAGCTTTATCTGCTAACAGGATTCACATTTTACCTCTGGACTGTCCTTCAGGGCATCGGAGCGGGGTAGCTCTGAGAGCTGAGAGAAACGCCGATCATAGATACATAGGTGGAGATGTTTATCGAGTACTCTGAAATCTTCATAACTCCGTTTCACAATCCAGCTCTTGCCCTGCATAGAGAGAGAAAAGCATCACATCAGACCACTTTGATCAGGAGCATAAAATGACAATCCTAGCAGAAGCAAAGAGAGGCACTGCTTTCTTTGCTGCCAGTCTTCCCTTATGCAATACATGGATGTAAATAAAAGATGTCCAGTTACTTTTATTTTAAGCTTTAGTATGGAACAGTTTAAAAACACAGTGAAACAAGTTCACCCCTGGTATTATTCCTCCAACTTTAGTGTACACAAATCTACGCCAATGGGAGGGGTTCTCCCATTGGTGTAGATAATCCACGCCCCTGGCAGGCGGTAGCTAGGTTGATGGAAGGATTCTTATGTCGACCTAGCACTGTCTACATGGGGTCTTTGGGTCAGTTTAATTATGCCGCTCAACGGTGTGAATTTTTCACTCCCCTGACTGACGTAGTTAAACCAACCTAATTTTGTAGTGTAGATCAGGCCAGTAATGTTATATCAGGGCTAAATTTGCCTTATTAACTCTAAAAGACCTACATAAAACCCATTTGTTCCCTCTGCTTACCTAACAAGGTTTTCATACTGTGCCCACCCCACAGGGGATCTGACTGTGTGCCAGTGAAAATGTAAACTACAAGAAGCTGTCAAAATGTCAGAGCTTAGTGGCTGCAGTTGGGCTCTGCAGAGACTCAAGAGTCCACCAACACAGATCTGATGGCAGGATTGGGGCCTGTACTATTTGTGGCAGAGTTTACAGGGCAGAGCCTCAGCTGAAATCAGTGCAGCTAAGATAATTTATGTCGGCTGCGCATCTGCCCCTAAGTATATCATTTTCCCAATTTAAAATATTGACAAAATACATTTCATAACCATGCAGTAAATTGGATAACTACAGTTCCAAGGGTTAGGTTTTCATTCTGCTGCATCCAGAGACAAGGAAGCAAAATGCTACCATAGCAACAAGGTGTAATTTACTTTTGTGAAACCTTTAATACACAAGTCCCATATTCCAAGTGCTTCATGGCCTATTACAATCAATAACAAGTGCTGTACTAATACAGAAGTTTACAGCTTCAAAGCACTTTATGAACCATAATTAATCCTCTGAACACCCTTCTGAGGGAGGTACGGTTATGTTACCTCCAGTTTACAGACAGGAAAACTGAAGCAGGAACGAAGGACCAACCCAAACCTCACCATGTCCCGTTCCATGTGCAAGGAACACTTCTTTGACCTGCCTTTTCCAATACAAACAAAAAGCAGCATGGACGTGTTTTTTGTTTGTTTTTTTTTAAATCCCTACAAAACAAAACTACACTGAGCATGTAATTCTCCCTCTGGGGTGATGAGGATAAAAAACAACGAACATATGGCAGATGTTATTCCTGTCGCTTAATGCATGACTGGAAAGTGCTCACATATTACAGTGATGAAGGCAGTATAAGAATTTCAGTAGAATAGAATCACAAAGAGGAGAAGTGAATTACTCAAGGTCACCACCAGGCTCTTAAGTAGTGCTTTTCAGCAGCAGATCTAAAAGTGCTTTATTTCACATAATGAGATAGTGCAGTGCTATTATCCCCATTGCACAGAGTGGGGATGGAGGCACAGAGAGGCTAAGTAACTTAGCCAAGGTCACACAGGAAGCTTGTGACAGAGCAAGGAATTGAAACCAAGTCTCCCAGACCTAGACTAGTATCCTAGCCACTGAACCAGCAAACCCATGGGAAAGAGCCCGGGATTAAAACTGGAGAGGGATGCATAAGAACAGTCAATACACACAATGGCAAGATATATGATACAGTGGGTGAAGTGGGATTCGAGAATCGACCACCACCACCCAAAAAAAAAAAAATAAAAAAAATCAGAACTTGCCACCTTATTTATTTATGTTTTTAAATCAAAGAGGTACATTTGTAGATCTGCTGGAATTAAGTGTCCAAAATACGGCCAGTGGGCCAAAGACAGCCCATGGAGATCTAGATTCCAGACTGTGGCTTCCTTCCCCTGTAGCACAAAAGGGGCAGCCAACGCAGAATACGGACAACTTCATACAAGCAGCCTTTTGCTCAGACCAAGGCAGAGGACTGCCTGCAAGGATCTGCAGTCTCCACAGGTCCAGCAGCTCTCTATTAAAGATTAAGCTGGGTAAAACAAAATGAAAAAAATCAATAAAAGATACCGAATACTTAACTAGTATCATGTCTCAAATAAGACAGAGATTTTTACATTTACGGCTGTGTTTGATCTCAGCCAAAGTAAGTGACCTAAGGAGATCTTATCGCCACAAAACAGCCCATGCTATCCTGACGATTATTAAGATGGTCTCACACGCTATTGAGCCAGCTGAGGATAAATGTCCACTCTGCAACCTGGGATTTGCCTCATTTTTTTCAGAATCATAATTTGCTATTTTTAGCAGTTAAATCCAAATTTATTTGCCAAGGAAGTGCAGGTATCACTTTTATGGCAGTTAATACGGAGAGGTTCTACACAAGCCATAAATCCAGCCCCATAATCTCATCCATAGCACTAGCTATTTTCTGTCTAAATAATTTATGACGGTTAAAGCTCCAGACAACCAATATTGTACTTAAAACTCCACTTTCATACCACAAGCATCAGTCAGTATTTCAGAAGCCTGAAGAGGTGGCCCTTTATCTCTCAGCAAATTAACAACATGACCCTCAGCTGAGCCACGTCTGGTCACCCCATACCAAAAAAAAAAAAAAAGAAAAGAAAAGAAAAAGATCAAGAAATTGTTGCAATGCTTGTAGTTTGTTTTTGCCAGCTGCATTTTAACAGGACATTCCCATGAAGTCCTGAAGGCTACTTGTTCAAAGGACAAGAAGCCATCACAAAATGCCTCAGCTCTTGATTATTACTGTCATTAATGACAAATGCCTCCCCAATATCTTATCCTTAAATACTTGCCTGCTGCAGTGATGCAGCATCTCTCAGTCATAATTAAGATAAAAAGACCTGAATTTACAAGACAGGAATTGCTGGGGTCAGCAAACACTACTGTACTGACCAGCAGTGTGTGCTGAAATGGAAGAGAACAAATGAAGAGAACAAATTTTTTTTTTTTTTAAATGGAACAGATTCTTCATCCTGAGAGCAACTAGGCTACTGGTAGTTACTAAATTTAACAGATTAATGTATGGATGGATTCTATACTCACTGGACTCTCTGTAACCTCAACATCGGTCAGAACAATGGGCACCCCCCTTTGACAGAACAAGAGTGACTGTGATGTGTAAATACAGAAAAGTTTGTCAGGGTAGTGCTTCGCAGACCGTTGCCTTGGAGACACCTGTTCCAATGTAGGAAGAGCAAATATTTCCTTAAACTCTACAGCTTTGAGCTTGCAAAAACTTACACATGTTCATTTTACACATGCGAGTAGCTCCAATGAGTAATTCTTTGCAGGTTTGGGGCCTAAATAGTTAATGTTTAAGAAAAAAAGTACAGAGGCATGTTTCTTCAGGATGCAGTTTAATTTCACAGGCAGGAAATCTTTGCAGCTGGCTAGCAAGGAACTGGACACCATTTAGGGAGGCTGTGTGCCATTACCACATCTGATCACATCTCCAGTGGGTGGTCAATACAAATTAAATCAGCTTCCTGGACCGTTTTCCCAGGATAAAACAAGTAGTAAGGTATTTGACTTAAGCTCCCAGCCAGACTTCTAGAGTTACAGGACAATAGTGAACCAGTGATACATTAATTACATCAAAAATAGCATCACACTCTTTGATACTGACAACAACAACAAAAGAAGTTGCATGTTTTATTCCACTTTGCCAGAAGGATTTGCAGAAGTAAATTGTTTTATTCAGCAATTTATTGAAACCACAGAAACAAGAAACAGAAAATAGCTATTAACGCAGCCTCACGGTGCCGACCTCATGTTTGCCAGTGTAGGTTTTATCACAAAGCTAAGCATTAAGGGTGTTGATAAAACACACTGAAAAGTAGGAGTGACGTCTTTTCATTGTAGATGGATCTCCCTAAATTGCTCCTCAATGTTAATTCCAACTCAGCTGCTAGTTTCCCCATCGCCAGCTTTTGTTTGTTTCTCGTTTTTCACTTTGATTTCGGGCTGACCCTGACTCAGAAAAGCTTCTTTGCTCAGAACATTTAAGCATATGGTTCACTTTAAACACATGCTTGAGTCCTACTGAAGTTAAGGGGACATACGCATGTGCTTAAGTATTTTCCTGGATCAGGGCCTGTGTCTGCAAATCCAGGGACTGTTCACTTCCAAGGAGTCATGCCTGTTCAGAAATCACAACCTCGCCCTTTCCCACTCACTGTTGTGTGGGATTTATAATACTCTCTGCTCCAAGGGCAGGGTAAAATTTCAGGGCATTGCATGAAGCGTATTTCTCACACTTTAGCTCAGTGAGAAGAAATGTCACGCTAAACATGATTACAGATTACTGAACTGACTCTTTAATATCCACTGTGCCAGAGACTTGAACTTTCCGTGAGTGAGACCCTTATGCTGTATGAGTTCATAAGGTGCTATTCATGCTGCACATTTAGAGGGACAAAGATTCACAGCCTCAAACCAATATTTTTAGCTCCTCGGCTCAAATGGCATAAGAGGGATGACAGGTGGCCATAGTTCATTCGGTGATATTTCCTCAAAGATGTCAACGCACAGTAGCAACTTTCTTTTTTATTTTCAAGTTCAGAGCACACACTGCTTGAGGGGGCCTTACAGCTGGCGTCACTCGTGACGGAATTACACTGCTGTGCCTCCCTGTTATTGTTTGGCTGGGGCGAAAAAGCAAATGATATTTCTCTCTCTCATATTTGTACGCCCATTTCACTCCCACCCCACACTAAAGCAGCACTTCAAACCATATGGCTGGTCTCCTCCCCACAGAGGGTCTGATCACTTTCGAGAGCAGCTCCCACAAGCCTGAGAAGAGTTAAATTCAGGAATAGTTTTAGTGCTGGCTTAGCTGCCTTCACTTAGAATCTGGCAAGCTGCAGCACTCCCCCATTTGCATTCTGAATGG